ACACAGCCTTGTATTATCGGCTCATAGTTAAGCTAGAGAGGGCTGCTCAGGGTTCGTTGGCAACCGAAATGCACAACGAACATGGAGTGAGCGAACCAAAAGCTGATTATCGGGTCATTAAAACGCCTTTCTTGTTGCTTTTTAATGTTCCAAAACTTATCTTGCAGCTTCTAACGCGTAAGCTTCGACATTCTGTACTGCAAGCTGGTGCGTTTCCATCGTTTTATCCCATATAGAGAAGACAGCGTATGTAACCGTATTCATCATAGAATAAGCAGTAGAGTAGATAGAGAGATATGTTGATACTTCAGCGGCATACTTTTATCGAAACGAGTATCAAAAGTATAGTTATTGCATACAAGTCGTCTGATATTCATTTCGATATCAGCTGGCCGTCTCCTGGAAGGAGTTTTGCGACCGCTAAAAATGTTGCCATATGTGTCACTACAGGAGGTATTAGATACATTCTTTGGGTGCGAGAGAGAGAGAGAGAGAGAGAGAGAGAGAGAGAGAGAGAAGAGAGAGAGAGAGAGAGAGAGAGAGAGAGAGAGAGAGAGAGAGAGAGAGAGAGAGAGAGAGAGATATATATATATATATATATAAATATATATATATATATATATATATATATATATATATATATATATTATCAGCCATTTATGCACCGTTAAAGTATCAAGCGCGGCCCCCACCGTCGACCAGCCGGCCAGCATCTCCCCATCAGTCGGCAGGAGTTCTCCTGGCTCACACAGGGACGCGGTAGCGCTGCTTTCACCCACCTGCACGTGCGCTATTCCGTCGACCCATCCCATGACGATGTCGGCCCCTGTCATGGCGCCATTCGGTGAGAACCCAACAGCGGCCCAGCCTCTGCCGACACAAAATAATTTGCGTGCTTTTGGACAGCCAACGAACATGAGCTTAGGGACTCAACTTTGGATGCTTCGGGAAATGGACTTCGGGTAACTTGGGGACGTGAACACGGGTATCGTTCACAGGAACAGTGACTCACAGAAAAGGCAGTGGCAACAGCCTTATTCCTCGGAGACAAACCCGCAGAACGGAGGTATAGATCCGTTGACATTTCGGCAACATGCCTTTATCGAGACAATAGCAGAATTGTTCGATCAGGGCATGGTGCTGAAATATTAACGCATCTAGATCTCCATTCTCCTGGTCTTTCTCCGCGCAATAAGACTGTTGCTACTGTTTTGTCCATGCGAATAATGCTCCTCGCAAGTGCATAACAAGTTAAGGAATAGCGACCCCTTTCAAATCGATGGGCAACTGCACAGAGTAGTATCTACGCTAGTCGCGTCCGATTAGGAATGCAGACACAAAGTTTTTATTTTTTCC